CTAACAGCTCTATTGCTATGCAGTATATGTACCTTCAACTTGGATAATAATAAAAATAACACTAGTCATTTCTATAACAAGCAATAAATATTTTTGTATTCTGCAATATCATTGTGAATTAAATTACACAGCAAATACTACTCATTTATGGCTGTAGAGAACAGAGTTGAATCTCCTTAAAATATTTGAAATAATGAAATTTCAAATAAATGTCTGTACCAGATGTGCATTTCTTTAAAACTTTCATGGCTAAAAGCCTAGTCCTGAGGTTGTACACACACACACACAAAACTTTTAGTACTTAATTATAATCATAACAACTAAACAAACCATTAAAAGGGACATTTATCTTGTAACAGACAAACTGTTTAGATCTGTGGGACAAGTTTACGAGCATGGGAAACTGTAATGAGCCATTCATTGGTAAGTAGATACTTGAAAATAAATCTCTAAATGTAAACTAAGGAAAGTCAATTTCACTTTTTGATGAAATAGTATAAAAAAATCATGATTTCATAGTAACATGACAGAGTTTAATAAATTTCTAATGGTGCACCAATAACAATAAATATATGATGTTTCACAAGATATTAGAAACCATACATCTAATAATTATGCTACCAACATGCTCATGCAAACAAAAAAAAACAACTAAATATGGAATACAGGATAAATCATCTGATTTTCCTTATAATCTATGATTAAAAAGTATTTTAAAGGAGGTAGGGGATTTTAAACCAGAAATTTTTTCCCATACACACTATTTTTTTTATTACTTTTTACAAGCTGAAAGATATGAAAAATATAACAGAATAGTTTTATTTGTTTGTTTATAGTCAAGCACAAAGGACTTTCTGTGTTGTGCCCACCACCAGTATCACTGGGGGGCAATAAAAATGTAATCTGCATCATAACAAAACATCTTCCCCATACATTTACATAAAAAGAGTTCAATCTTATATACTTACATTGCTTTCTCTGCATTTCTTGCCTAAAAAATAAAGAAATAAAAGTTTTAAAAATTTCAATTGAATTATGTTAATTTCTTAAAATTGGAATGTATCACATATGATTAAATTTTTGTAACACTAGAACAATTTTTTAAAATTAACATAACCAACTTTTTCATTAAATACATAACAAAAGAAAGCACTTTAGAGATACATTCAGAATACAAATACTATCTCAAAAGTCACTATTTAATCATACATAAAATAACTGCTTAGCCATTTCAACTTGTGGTTCATGACTATCACACTCATCACTATGATACATTGTCAAATCAAGTATGTCAGAATTTACTTTTAACCCTTCAGTAACAGAGATTACTCCAACTGTTTCATGCCCATATTTATGCAATGATAATATGTTAGTAAATCATTTAAAGTTACTGATAATATAACACAACCACTATTGTGACTGTCATATTCCAACCAGCTTGAATCCTGGTTTTGAGCAAAAGACCTCTTTGACACTGGATATAGCAGATACAGTATGTTTGACATAGTGTTATACGTTCATTACATTCACTCATAACTTCATAGAATTAGTTATGTCCTCTTCTCCAGTTGCTGTAGTTGCTCAACTGATATTTTCATTAACTGTGGAGTTTTCTCTATTCTGTAGAAAATTAACTTGTCTTAGGATTCATATTATTTCGATAAGAATTTGCACTTAATAGATGTTTTGAAGTGTTCTTCACATTTTCCTCTAATAAAAAAACAAAACAACAACTTTGATATACTATAACCTCTTTTTTTACTCATCTTACTATATTTCGGTAGGCACACCACAGTGTAATCGACAGACTACACTGATTTCACACTAAGTGATAGATAACTTTGAAATGGCCATAAACATTACAACTACATACATTAACACAGAAATAGTTTGGTACATATAAAAAAATAAGAACTTGTATTTTTATTTAAAATACATATATATTTTTATGTACATTTCTACAAAAAATACTGTTATACACATCAATACCTTAAGCACCTACACAAGATATTTAAAGGCATATCTAACACAACTGCAACAAGTTTGATAGTTTTACAGACCTAAAAATTACAGATTTTAATTACTTTTACAGTCAAAGAAATCCTCGTATGCAAACTGTGGGTAATCTAATGATTTGTAATCTTATATAAAATGTTCCAAACTGTTTTTAGTTTTTTCTAAAACAGTCTTGGCTGAATTTGTAAGGAACAGTTCACATACATGTTTTGTAGAAATAATAGTTTTAACTGTCTTTGTTTCAAAACAATGTCTATATACTTACAAAAATACACCTGTAACAGTTATGTGCATATAACATCCTGCCATCTATTTCTGTACACCACTGAGTATATATGATGTACTGCCATCGATTTATATACACCACTGAGTGCACAAAAATCAGTATCTTTATTCATTGCATACTGTTTTCATTTAATACATACATCTGCAGTGCTTCATTTCAGGTGCACTTCTTAAGTACGTATAGCCTTTGTTTCTGCTGGTTGGCTCATTGGTTAGAAAACTGACTGGATGGAAGAAAGCATAGGGTTGTTATAAATGGAGCTGAAACAAACTGTATTAATGTCACAAGTGGGGTACCTCAAAGCTCATTGTTAGAACCTTTGTTCTTTTTTATTTAGATCAATGACATAGCTAAATGAACAAACAATAAATTATTTAAATTTGTTAATGATATTAAGGTTATGAGTGTTGCTGGCTGTGAGAATGATACTCCTTTACAAGATTTGGATTATTTGGTAAGTTGGGCATATAAATGGCTGATAGCTTCTAATTATAATAAATGCAAGGTAATGCATGCAAGATATAATTTTAGTAATGAGTATAATTTGATGGGAATAACATTAATTGTATTATGGAAGAAAAACACCTTGGTGTTTTAGACGATCAGGCTCTTAAGCTATCCAAGCAGTGTGTTATTGATAGTGGCAGAGCAAATACGATTTTAGATTATATTTTCCAAAATATTGAAGTTTAAAAATGTTATAATTTCATTGTATAGGTCATTGGTTAGGTAACATTTGGATAATTGTGTTCAGTCTTACCTTTGGAGGGTCATTGAATTGATGGAAAGGTTGTCATAAGAGGACAAGTTAAAATCTCTGAAATAGTTTTGAAAAAAGAAGAGTTAGAGGGGATCTGATTGAAGTGTTTAAGATTGTTAAGAGGACTGATAGTATTGATACATCATCTCTTTTCATACTTAATGGTGAAAATGGAAGGACTAATGTACACAAATATAAATTTTGGCAGGGGTAGGGGTCATCTTCAGCTAACACAACTTTATTTTTCTGACAGGGTGGTTGGTCTTTGAAATGGGTTGCCTCCAGAAGTGGTGGAAGAAATAAACTTATGGGAAGTCTTGATAAATATTTGAAAAATAAGGACTGCTTTGAGTGTTTTATTTTTATCTTAAGATAGTATAGAGCAGTGGTTTTCAACCTTTTTCCACTGACAACACCCTAACCCACTTACCTTGATTTAAGAGACACCCCTGCTGCCACATGCAATGTTTTTTGTAGTTTTTTTTATGTTCTTAATTATTCTTTGTTTGGTGAAACTTTTGCACAACCCCAAATAACTTACCGCAACATACTATTGTGTTGAAATACAGTTTGGAAACCACTGGTTTAGATGGACCAGCAGGTACTTTGTTATCCTTAAATTGTATATATGTATACAAAAAAACAACACTTTCTTGGAGATAATTATTATAAGTTCACTTATTCCACTCAATTACCACATGTATAATGAATTTATTATTATAGATATAATTTGCTTAAAAAGTTCAGGTCACAGTTAGTGGATGTTCCATACATTATTACACAGGGTCAGCTAGAGTAAAAATCACACCCAAAGCCTCTATTTTCAAGTTAAATTTGTTTTAGATTTGCATCATATTATTGTTTACATGTATGGCTGACATAAATGTGAGACACTGGTGTTAATTTCTTACTAACACTTACGACTAAGTCAGCAAATAACAGTAAACTATTGTATTAGCATTAAGTCCTTTTTTAGCCTTTTTTTAAATTAAATCATTAAACTGAAAATTACATGTATGTTATAACGTTAATGAAAACTGCAATTTTTAACTACTTCGATACTTCTAACAAACAAAAAAGTGTCTAATCAAATTGTCACCTTATTGTTTTCAAAACTTCAGGGAGTGATCATTATTTACCAGGTAGGGAGGAAACTGTGTGTGGGTGTGTTAGAGGGCAAGATTTCTCTGCACAGTCGAACAAAATATCTAACGATACAAAATGCAAACACAATATTGCTTACTCTCCATATTATGAAAACCTAAACATGAAATAGAACATTTGCAACACAAAACATAATTTTCTGTGACATTTGGCTCTTTTACTTCCAGTATAATGAAAGTATATTTCAAAGCTCTTGATGAATATGTATTATACATTTTTGCTTAATTTTGCAAGTTGTAGTATTTTGTTTTGGAATTCTACATGTGTTATGTAAAACTGACAATACTTCTTGCTATGTTCATTTCCAACATGAAATAATTTAGAACAGTCTATCCCTAGTCTCTAAGAAGATTACGATAAATTTTATTACCCATAGCTTCATTTTATGATGATATCTATTAAACTGTGATTTTTTACGGGCAAACAGATGTTTATTTTAGTTTTGTATTTATACAAAAACTTGATATTAGCTGCTTCTGTATTATTTAATGTAATTATTTATATAGTTAAAATATGTTTATCAAAGTTGTCAATGGCTTCTACTTTAAAACACTACATCTTTTGATTCCTTCTATGTTGTCTTTTGAATACTTTATTGAATAAATATATGTATGATTGTATTTTAATACATATTAGTTATTAAATTACAAATTGTTACTTCCAAGCTGTTGATGAAATAACTTATAGAATTTTCATTTATCACTTATTTATGAGATACTTTTATGCCTTTTAGTCTTCATATTATTTCTGTGTAAGAAAATGATGTTAAGAGAATGAATAGTGATTATAATCACATAATAACTGCTTTATCCAGTACCAACAAGGCCTTTCACCAAGTATCAGGGCTCTTCAGGCTGGTGGGGGATACAATAGATGAAACAATGGTTGAAATGCTATTTATGTAATCAAATTGATTAAACAGCTGTTTCTCTATGAACTACATTACAGTAACAAAGTGTACTTTTTATTTACGTCACTACAAATAAAAATTAACGTAAGAAAATTTAAACATTAATTTAACATCAAACAGTTACAATTTTCTTTTCATTTTTAGTAAATTAATCTAATCATACTTCACAAAAATTGCTGAATCATCAAGCTAGTTTTTTTTTTTTATTTCATAGTTGGTTTGTTGTGATTGTACCTTCTAGTTGCAAGTTGTACATGGTTTTACAGATATGATCAATTAATGTTATAGATGTGTGGGTCCAATAGCTATAAATATGGTTCAGAGCTTTTCCTAAGGATTTTTTTTCAATTGCACAATTATAATTTAACTTCATCATATTTTAATACATGACACCTTATTGCATCTCATTTATACAGGCCTAGTAACAAATGTTCCAAGAAATGAAGATTATTCTGCGAAATACATTTATTCATCAACTTTGGAATGGAATTCTATAATTTTAAATATGTTTTTTTCTTTAATATTTATTCACTTGAACTTACTTATATAGGTGAATTTTCAACTGCACACTAGGATAACTCCTGATATGGTTGTAGTTTGTGAAATAAGACTACAAATTCTGAGCCTGTAAAAATAAACTTTTTTTCAAGTCCGGCATCTTGCTGGATATCCCTTGTTATTCAAGTAATTCACTGTATCAAGAATGTTTTTATGACATTTTCTATAATGTTATTAGTGTCAAAAACATCCATAGAGAAAATAACTTCTATGAAATATTTTTAAATTAAGCATTTGTATATAACTGTAAATTAGCCCCATTTTTAGATGGGTGGGGGTTGCTTTTCTATGCACAGAACTGAAGTGCAAGTCACTTGTCTGTGTACAGAAATCACTTTTTTATGTGCAGATGATTTTCTAAGTTCCCCTGGTCCTCATTTTGAAAAAAAAATACCGCTCCCTAACAATAGTAACATGAAATTACCGTTAAGTTAATATTCATATCTTTTGAGTTGAGATTAGTAATAGTACTACATGAGTTCTTAGTTTGAATACTGTTAGTGTTACTGTTGGCCTTAATCTTATCTCTATTACTATTACTATATATATTATAAATGTCCAGAACATCGCGTCGTCTTATTAGTAATATTACCATTTTCTATCTTCTGCAGTACGTCCCAGGTTAGATGCTTACAAGTTATATTAAACTTCAGATGAATATAAGAAATTTATACACTTGGCAATTAACTACAAAGCACACTACTCAAAACGTTGTTAATACGTAATTCGTATTTCATGTCTACTACTACAGCCATCTGACGGTGAGAAAAAGACATTGATAAATACTATTTATGTTCATAAGCAATTGTTATGGTTGGTAATTTGTTGTTAAGCTCAAAGCTACACAATGGGCTATCTGTACGGTGCCCACCATGGACATCGAAACCCGGTTTTTAGCGTTATAAGCCTTCAGCCTTGCCGCAGAGCCTCTGGGGCAGGGGCGAAAGTTATGTTTCGATTGTGAAATGTGCGCCTTTATTTAAATTTGACCTTAAAATTATATATTCGCAAAGTAAATCTTGTATGCAGTGTCATTCGAAATGCTTAGCCTGCCATTCTGCATTCATATGACAAACTATTCTCGTCAACTGCGGAAAAACATAAGCTTACCTTATAAGTTATATAAGCTACTAACTTTAATCAAGTATAAGAAGGGAAGGGAAAAAACATTTTGTTTGGTATCTGTACGATAAAATATGTTACCTGAAATTTCCTATTAAATATAAATTTAAGGAATAACTGAATATTACGAGAGGGTAACTTGTTTCATTATTACCTTTGTAATCAATGCCAACCTTAGCAAACGTGTGGAACTTAAAAAGCATGGTAGTTCATATCTCTCTGTCCACTCATAGATTGTATACAGGCGAGGATTTAGCGGAGAGGGGGGGGGGGTCGGTTTCCCAAAGAAATTTTAGAATTAAGACTCAAATTAGGTATCTAACTGTTCTTTCAAGAGATTAAGTATAATATATTGTGGTTCAGTATTGTAAAAGATAGAAGTACAATGAACATTATTTAATTTCAAATATTGTTTTTAATTTACCACCCGCGTCCCTCTAAAAGCTCGAAGACCCAGGCTGTTGCTTGTCTTGCTTAAAATCAATACATAAAATGTATATAATTAAATGAACTGTGGTTGTAGGATTGAGGATTTCTAAAATGGTTCGCAAAAGGAGTTTGTGTCAAGATAGAGTTAATAAATCCTAAATGGTTTTATTTTGGTATGTTAAGTTGCTTCTCTGTTGTTGCTTGGTTCCGAATTTTTGCAATCCAGTTAGGATTGGTTAAGCATAGAGAAACATATCGACTATGAAAATTATTTTGTGCTTTCACACTGATTCTTTCCAGCTTTGAGAGTCAAGACTGATGTACTTTTTGATACATGTATGTCCAATGGTTTTTTTTCGCCAACCAGCTTGTTATTTTAAATTTCATCTTATCCATTGGTGAGAGTAAAATGTGTTCTCCCTTGAGGAAGTTATTCTAATTTATTTAATTTTATCAACAACAAACGATATTAAGTAAATAATGTTTCAAGAGCTAAGATTGACAATAGATATGAACCACAGGCGAACGTAAGCAATATATTTTTATGCTTACTATGAAGCTTTTACAATTCGTACACACTTTTTAACATGTTGCAAGCTCTTTAAAGAAGGCTACATAAATTATAACTTCTATTCTGTTTTAATGACATATAAGTGTGGTAATTTCTGACTCATAGATTTCCTTCCAAGTAGTCAGTTAGGGCCTGCTAACTGGAGGTTCAGAGAATATCAAGTCGTGGAATGTGTGTATTATCATTTTTCGATTTTTCTGTAAGAAAACACGGTCAGTTGCCAATTAATGAATTCATGTGCTAGGCTCACCTGAGAAAGGGAAGTTTGAGAAGCTTTCTTAAGCGACTCTCTGTGTTCAAATGGAACTAAAGTACTGTTACGTCTCCGTTCGTTAGTTAATTTCCTTAAATTCGTTCCGACGAAACTTTAGCGACACAAGTCCTTTCTTAAATAGAACTCGTTTATTCT